ACAAAAGGAAACCAAGAACCCAATGCCAATGTCTTTAAATGAAGAGGCCATATGCAGGTGTTCTAAAGGAACATCAATTCAGCCTGCCTGTTCTACCCAGAAGACACTTAGAGCAGTAAGACACTTTAAGAGAGAAAAGAACATTGCCAACTTGTTGTATGGAAATACATTTTTGCCTGAATTTCCCAACTCATTTAGAAGATGGAAGCATTCTTCCTGGAGAGCTTAGGTAACAGAGACATGCAAGCTGAAAGACATGAATTGGGAGCTGCTGGCTTCCTCTTGCCCATCTTCCCAACAGGTGTGTGATATTGGCATGTGCTTAGCCTAAAGGGCAAGAAGCTGGAGAGATACATTAATATATTTTCCCAGCATCTTCAACAAAGAGAAACAGCTGAGTGGGTTTCTAATTACAGCAGAGGTGCAAAAGGATTTAAACACACACACACCCTGCCACGCCCAACATGAATGGTTTCACCAATTGACAACCAACTCCTCTGGGCTGTTATTAGTCCTGAAAAGGGGTGGAGAAGAGATACTCACCCTTTCTTTGGCCATTAATCATAGGAATCAATTTAGATTGCCAAAAGCAAACAGACAATTTGTACTAATGTGTTCTGCTGATACACCTGTCCACTTTTGCAGAAACTTGGGGGGGGGGTGTCCAGTTCTCTGGTAGGTTGAAAAACACAGTTGGGTGTGTAAGGTGGTACTGTATACACTGAAGGTGAAACAAGACCTTGCAGACCCTCAAGCCCAAGAAAGCAATGTTGCTGCAATTAGATTTTTTAGAAGGTTTAAGACAAACATACCTAATGCCAAATCTAAGGAGGTCTGCTAGTCTCTGGCAGTAACATTCATGTCCTCATATTTGTGAAGAGTAAAGAAAGTGGGCAATAGTCAAATGGCCAGTATAGCACCAGCATTAGGCCAGGCATGTGAGAGAAGGAGACATATTACTAGGGCCTTAGCCCAGCCTTGCCCGACAACATTACATAGCCATTCCTTTTTCTGTACTGGATGGAGGGCAGGGAGGCAAGGAAAGTTGCCTAGGAACTGCAGATAACTTCCTTTGAGTCACCACAAAATGGCTGGCTAGGCTGGAGTCTCGACATAAATGTTTCTAACGCAGACAGCAGGAACAAAGTGGAGAGTCAGAGAGAGCGTGCTGCCTGGCTCCATACTGAGTGCCCTTCTACAGAGGGATATAGCTGGACTCCGTATCTCAAAGCTAACTACATTCCTCCAGGTTGAGGATGGAAGGCAAATGTGGATGTCAGTGGATCCAAGTGTCCTACATGTGAGAGCAGATTTAACTGTCCTCCTCCCACCTTATTTCTAAAAAAGTATTCTGGCACCTGCATGAGACAAACAGGTGCCAGTGAAATAAGCCAAACCCTTTACCTAGCCACTAATTCAGTGTTTTAACTCCAACTATGCGTTACTGGTCTCATATTAAAAGTCTCAGAATTATGAATTCCATAGCTGAAATGTTAAAACAAAATAAAATCACACAACTTGAAGGACACACCTTTTATTGCACAAACATAGGAAGATACTTTGACAAAGCGATAGGAACTGCGGCCTACACTATTGTGTACTCCTACTTTGTAATTACTATGTAAATTCTGCATTGTTTAATGTGATGCTTAAATGCTTCTGCTTTGTTTCAGATTTCTGCTAAGTTGCACTGTTTTATTGGATGTCCCATGCTGTTGATTGTATCTGACTTACACTGTGTAACCTGCCCCATATCCCAATGAGAAAGGTGGACTATACATAAGGAAAATAAATAAATGTGATGTAAATAAATCCACAATTGATGCTACATATATAGTACAGGTCACTGTACACATGGTGCTGGGAGCCCATGGTATAAAGTTACAAAATGTTTCAAGGGTTTTTTTGGGGGGAGGGAAGTAAACATGAGGAGATGCACTATTTCAGATTGGGACCATGGAGCTCAAGGTAAGGCCTTTCTCTACTCTATTTTCCTTACTTGGTGTCCTAAGAAAACCGCACACGGAAAGCTTACTACCACTGAAGGCAACATGCTCCTTAATATTACAGGCACTGCTTCTATCGTGAGGGGTTAATAGATTTCAGATTTTTTTTCTGAAAAATGGGGGCTTTTCTCAGGTTTGCAGAAAGATCTGCCTTGACTGTGCATGGCTCTGATCCATGGGTGTTAAGTAACCACAGATAGGGCCACATTGATAATGATGAAATTTAGTTTAAGGTAGCACTTCATAGCTATGTGCCTTTGGCAATTTTCACAAATGTTTACAATATGAATGGTCTTAGTTCACGGAGCCAATTAATTCCACAACTTATTTGGTGAAGTTTTTCATTTCAGGACCCAATCTAGTGCAATTTTGATGAACAGTAAAGGATATCCCATTATTCTTTGCGAAGTGTCTAGGTAACTTCTGGTGATTACATCCCTAGAAAGCGTAGAGAAAGTAGAACCTGGAATAGTCCCCTTAAAATGAATAAATCCTTCCTGATTCTCATGTTTAATATTAGCACTGTGAAAACCTGCTGCTGTTACTGTATTTTTCCAATATTTTGGCAAGGCAGATTCAACAAACAAATGAGAAAGCAAAGTAACTTTCTAGATGTCTGACAAATTCATCATGATGTGCTTCTGGGAATAAAAAGGCCACTAACACCAAATTAGTTGAAGGAAGAACAGGGGGAGGGGAACCTACGATTGCAGATGCTGTAATATGGCCCCGGTCACACACACCTCCCCCCCCACATTTTCCTGCCCATTTGGCCGAGGCCGATAATCAGCTACTACACACATTCTGAATTAGTAATTAGCATTAGGCACGCTAGAGAGACGGAAGATAGGCGGATTTTCTGGGCGCAATCTCACCGCCACATCTGGGAAGCGTAGAGCTCCCGTGGCGCACCCGAGGCTTCCCGCCGAAGATGCGGGGTAAAAAACTAGTACCTTGGAGGTACTAGTTTCTGGAAACCGCGGGGCAAGGGCGGGCGTCTGATCACGTTTCCGGTGGTAGTTCCGGCGCCCGCCCATGTCCCCTCGCAAAAAGGTTTTTTTTCCCCAAGTCTCCACGGATGCGCACAAGCACCCAACGGAGCATGCACACATTTCAGTTTTTTAAAAAAACCACAACCCCGTTTGCCGCGCCACTCCACTTCTTTGCTGCGTCGTGTGATCGGCACCTTCCCCCTAACCACGGGAGCTCGACGGGACCTCAACCCGACGCCTGATCGCGCAGTTGCGCGTTAGTTTGCTCCGGGGCAAACAGTCAAGCCTCCCCCCCGCATTTTCCTGCCCGTGTGGCTGAGGCCGATAATCAGCTACTACACACATTCTGAATTAGTAACTAATTATTGATTTTGAAGGGAACAGCAGTACAATTCTGTGTACTGCACTAGGTATAAGGAATATCCAAATGTTCTCAACACATCTCTTGCAAAACAACCCCTCCCCCGGCGTTTTCTGTAAAATATTTACAAATACCTGAACCCTGCACGCATCAACATAATGCATACTACAGAGCTATAGATTTAATTTTACAACAAAACCTTCATATGCAAAAGTCCGATAGGGATCTCAGACTATCAAAACCAATTCCTACACAGTACCGAGATTCATTGGATCTGATACAGACAAAAAGAATGTCACAAAGCCAGCTCCTGCAACCAATATCACCTTGGTTTGAAACTGGCCCCTGGTCCCACTTAAAAGCTCAAAGTGATATTTGGTCATAAGACTAGTGCTTACGTGCTTCTTGTTCAAATGGCAGACCCTGGGAGCAAAGTACTATGTATCATGATACACTGATTTTTAGACTGGATGGTAACACTACATTGTCTTCAGCTAAAAACAAAGTCGTGGTGGTGTTGGAGAGTGCCATCAGGTCACAGTCTACTGATAGCGATCCTGTGGGGTTTTCAAGGCAAGAGAAGTACAGAGGTGGTTTTACCACTGCCTGCCTCTGCATAGCAGCCCTGGACTTCCTTGGTGGTCTCTCATCTGAGTACTAACCAGAGCTGACTCGGCTTAGCTTCCAAAATCTGATGAGAGAGTACCACATATTCAGAACCTAAAAAGGTTAGTCAAGAATAGAAGAGGGCCAACTCTAAAAATCTAATTATGAAACATACAAAAATATACATGTATTTATTAAACACAAATGTTGGACCTATATAGTAGATAATCCTGAATCTACTATATAGGTCCAACACTTGTTTGAACAACACTGCTTTTAACTTAAGGAATATTTCATTGGGAGCATTTGGCTATACAATCTCAGGAGAATATATAGTTGACCAGAGAGAAGTACTACTGGACATGTGATTGCACTGGAGGTTTCATTTGTATTTTTGCCCAGTGGTTAAACTTTGGAACAATTGTTTTCTGGTCTGTATTTCATATTTTGTATATGCTTGATTGTATATATTTTTACATATTAGCCAATATGTTCTATTTGCATTAGACCTCTGAGGAAGGCCTGTGAAGGCCGAAACGCGTTAGGTCTATTTCATCAGCCTTTGTATATTTGTATTTTTATATCTGTATATGAGGTATGAATGGGCCCTTATTTGTTATTTTAATTTGTGTTTAATAAATACATGTATATTTTTGTATGTTTCATAATTAGATTTTTAGAGTTGGCCCTCTTCTATTCTTGACTAACCTTTTTAGGTTCTGAATTCTAGGTTTTAGGTTCAGGTTTTTTTCCCCTTTTCCCTTTTTTGTCCTTACAGAGTACCACATATACCAGCATGCACATAGCAGATCAGATTCACGCTACATAATGGGGACAGAATCTGTCCCTAAATCAAGGGCAGTTTGGATCCTGCTGCAGGACTTCACCCCAGCCAGAGGACTTTCTCTTGGGGGAAAACCTGAAGATGTTACAAGTATATGCTTGATCTGCTCCTCACAGCAATTCATTTTTCTGACCCAACCACTTAATTTTCTTCTTTTACATAAACGACATTACATAATAAAGGAGGCTTACCAAATTCATACACCTTTTTACACTTGGTTTCCAAATCTTCAATGAGATTCTGGAGACGACATTGCTTAGCCAGTCTTTTGCAGTCACTCACATATTCTACATCAGTGTCTAGACGGCCTGACAAAGAATGAGAAACAAACCAACCAATAACCCTTCGGTTAGTCCCTTAGTGAAATGTAAAATTTATCCTTGCAAGCCAAACATATTAAATTTAATCTCCAGCACCACCCTGTGACTTAAGGCAATATTACATTTATATTCTAGAGAACAATACACAACTGGCAGAGTTATTGGTGATGAACCACCTACCATGCTACTTTGCAATGATATGGCCTGGAGGAAATCTGCGGCTTTATTCTTTTTGCCTTAGTATTCCTCTTATTTATTATTTTACCCTGTTGGCCACCCTAACTTGTCCGCATATTAAAATGCCCCCAGAACTAATACAGTAAGTGTATGTGTATTGGTCTTGAGACCCAACTGTGTCATCCAGACTCCTTTCCCAGTGGTTGGCCCAACTCAATTCTGTTCAAAACAACTGCATGAGTGACACCTTCCACGCTACATCTTCAGCGGGGTACACATGATAGCCTCTTGCAACAAAACCAGAGTTTTGAGGCACCGTGAAGACTAACACATTTATTGAAGTATAACCTCAAGCTCACAGAAGCTTACATAGCAATAAGTGTAGAAAAGAGTAAGAGACCAGTAGCACCTTCAAGACTAACAAAATTTGTGGTAGGGTATGAGCATTCGTGAGTCACTTCTCACCTTCAGATACAGCAGTATCTGAAGAAGACAGCAGTAATGAAAGCTCATACTAGGCTTACCAAATTCCGGTGGGGGAATTGTATGTCCTGGCAGGAGCCTGGCCGCGGGGACGGCTGCACGCGCTGCACCCACCGTCGCCAGGATGTGACGCTCTGCGTCGCTCTGGCAACGGGGCTGTTTGGAGTCCCGTTGCCAGAGCAACGCGGAGCATCACATCCTGGCGACGGCAAGTGCAGCGCGTGCAGCCTTCCCCGCGGCCAGGCTTCTGCCAGGACATACAATTCCCCCGCCGGAATTTGGTAAGCCTAGCTCATACCCTGCCACATATTTTGTTAGTCTTGAAGGTGCTACTGGACTCTTATGCTCTTCTACTGCAACAGACAGACTACCCATCTTTATCTCCATGGAAAGCAATAAACGTTTTAGTTTTCAAGATGCCACAAACTCTGGTTGTGTTTTTAAGACAAATTTACAGATGTAAAAGGCACCAAAAGCTAGGCTCATATACATTCCGTGTACACTGGGAACCCAGAAAAGATCCAGCCAGCACCAAATCAAAGTTAAGAACATCTCCCAGATAATTAAAAAGACACTGGGAATTTCTTTTTTAGCTGTTATTGAGTTAGATACAATAAATCACTAGTAATGCTTTCTTCCATCTCCTAAGTATTCATGGATGTGGGAGGAAGGGAAGACTGGGCTCCTTGTGAGAGTGAAAGTATAAATAAGTTTCTGAACTTTTTAAACAAAGAGAAACAGAGAGAGAGAGACGGACAGACAGAATGTGTGCCCTAGTGGTGAAAAGTGTCCAATAACTCACTGGTGTTGCTCATCACTAGTGATATCACAGCTCCCAACAGAACCAGAATACAGCACTTGCAAAAGAAACAAATTTTCAAAGAGGAGAAAATAATTGTATTTCCCGTCAATACAATATTGTTGTCTTGGGTGCTTGGCTGTGATGAAGAAAAATATCTAGACCCTGTACAATAAGCGAGCAACTGCTACGTATGCATTTCATTAAAAACAAATTGTTGGAAACAAATTTTCTTTGGCTTAGATCCCCAGGGCAAAGCTAGGTGATGTTCCAACTAGTAATCAGTGGTCAGTGCTTCATTGCCCTGTGCAACTCCCTGTTCCTCCCCCAAGGGTATTATACCATACAAGTGGAGACCCGCAAGAAACTTGCGGGATGGTTATCCTATTCCTCACACCTTTGCTTCCTCCTGACTCCCCCGACCTCTCTCACACTTTTTCTCCCTTCTGCCCCCCCTTTCTTTCTCTCTCTCCTCCATGTATGGTTTGGAGGGTGAAGTCTATGGCATTATACTGGTCTGTAGTTCCTCCCCTTCTCAAATCCCAGACTCCACCCCTCAAATGTCCAGGAATTTCCCAACCTGGAGTTGGCAACACTCCACCCTTCCCACCCAACAGTCAACCTACCTTTATCTGCCTCTCCGTCTTCAGCTTTCCATCTCCACACCCCTCCCCCACAGCCTCTACCTAAGAAAATTACAGTCTTTCTCCACAGTGGGGACCAAAGCAGCCTACATTATTCTCTCCTCCTTTTTATCTGCACAACAACCCTGTGAGGTTGGCTAGGCTGAAAGTATGTGACTGGTCCAAAATCACCTAGTCAGCTTCCACCGCAAGATGGGGATCTGAACCTGGGTCTTGCAGACCCTAATCTGAAGCTCTAACTGCTACATCACACTGGCTTTCATAGGGTGGCTGCTGATGAACAGTAGCAAGCAGCTGGGCCTAATTGAGTCATGCAAATCAGGTGGTATCAAGTCACCCAGAGGGTGCTGCCTAGGGATGCCAGCCTCCAGGTGGGACCTGGGAATGCCTGAAATTACTGCTCATCTCTAGACTACAGAGATAACTTCCCATTGAGAAAATGGATGCTTTGGAGGGTGGACTCTGTGACATTGTACCTCACTGAGGTCCCTGTCCTCCTCAGGCTCCACCTGCAAATCTCCAGGAGTTTCCCAGCCCGGATGTGGCAACCGTTATCACCATCCCCTGCCGGTGGTCAGGGGGGGACCTGGCAAACCTAAACTGCTGCCAGGCCTAGGGTTGCCAACCTCTAAGTGGGGCCTGGAGGACCACCACCCCAGAATTACAACTGAACTCAAAACCCAGCGCTCCTTAGAGTCCACCACAAAATCTCTAGGAATTCCCCAGCCTGGCACTGGCAACCATTGTCAGGCCTGGCCCCAAGGCTCCCTCCCTAAAAGACCAAAATAGGCCTGGAAAGGGCACTTCCCCCTCCCTTTTACTGGCAGAGCCATTTAGAAGCTTTCCCCCCCCGAATGTTCTAATCTTTCACCATTGATGTCTGGAGTTAGATCCCTGCAGAGGCCATTTCAAAAGGTATTGGGGGGGATTCAACCCTCCCTGAAGGGATTTTTTTACTTCTTGGATTTTTCTGCAGACACAGGAAGTCTAATATGTAGGAAAAGCTGTTGGGGGAGAATGAGCCCTCTGTTGGCAGAAATAAGTATCCGCACAACCCCCCCTGTGGGAATTAGATATATAGATTATCAATCCCCTTCCAATATTATATACCTTCCATGACTTCAGTCCTTGCCAAAATAAAAAGGAACACAAATTCTCACAATATTGCTCTAAAAGACCCAGCAATACATATGCAGAACAAAAAAGAAGCTGCATTTGGATTGCATCACAAACTCAGTGATCATAGCACAGGACCAAATTTACCTGTATAGAGGTACTGCAGAAGGGAGCCAAAGGCAGCTGGGTTAATCTGTGTAAGGAATGAACGCAGACATTTATAAAGAGGCACAAAATCATTTGGAAGAAATACTGATATAAATGAAAGGTGAGGAGAGCCTATGTGATTCCACGGTAGTGCTGGCCATGGAGTGATTGCCAGGTTTGGTACATATGCAGCAGAATGAAGCTGTAGAATGAATCATGCCACTTCAGACAACAGGTGCAGGAAATCATATTTTGAGTGGTATCCCTCACTCACAGTCTGAATGCTACAGTCCACTCTACCACCTGAGGAGCCTGCTGTACATGTAGACCAGGCCCCAGACCTCAAACAAGTGTTGGCTGTTGGAAGATGCCATCCCTGCACTGAAAGAGAAGATCATCCAAGTGATTTCTCTTTCAATTTCCTTTTCCAAAAGGGCAAGACAGTATACATCTCCGTTCAAGAAGAGCAGGGCTCATTTTACAAACATTTAATTTAATGAAAAATAAGAAAGTAGACATGCCTTAATCTGTTTTGTAAATCAAATATATTGAATGGTTATTTCGGCTACAAAAAGATGAAAGGCTTTTCCTAACTCATTATGCATGTGGCACCCTGAGCATCTCAGCATCTACAGCTATATTCTGGATTGGATATTATTTTGACATTTTGCAATATCCTAGCCCATTGTATAATTCCAAAAATAAAGTTTAAGCCATTTTTAAAAAGAGAAAGTATAAGACAGATTTTTGGCATCTAATGCTATAATAATGGATCACCTTCTCCCATACGAACCTATTCCCAGCGCGACGTGCTCCCACTTTGAGAGGTTAGGTGGGTGAGCAAAAGACACGAGGGTTTTTTCTGTAATGACCAGGGCTATTTTTGGGCAGGAACACACTGGAACGGAGTTCCGGCTGGCTCCTGAGTGGGCCACACCCAGCAGGAACTCATTAGCATAATAAGCCACACCCAACAGCAGGGACTCATTAGGATTGGCTACAGTAGGCGTGTGTGGCCTAACATGCAAAGGAGTTCCTGCTACAAAAAAAAGGTCCTGGGTTTTGACCACAAACAAGGTAAACAGAATAAGAAGCAAAAGGTGGGTGTGGCTAGATGACCACACTTCTGGCAACACGGGGCTGTGGCCTAATATGCTAATGAGCTATGGTGTCAGGGTGTGGCCTATTATGCTAATGAGTTCCTGCTGGACTTTTTCTACAAAAAAAGCCCTGGTAATGACCATCCAGGCTGTGGAATTCCCTCCCCACAGAGGCTTGCTTAGGCACAAGATTTACAAACTTTTAAGCAGCAGCAGGGGATATTTTTATTCTTTCACTATTTTTAGAGCTTTCTTGAAACAGAGATTTTAGAGGTCCTGTTTTTAGGCCACCACTCCAGGCTTTTAAAAAGATTTTATAACACAGCGCTTTTAAATAAATCGTATTGTCCTAATTTTAATCTGATGGTAATTTACAATTATTTATTTTTGCTGTTATACATTTTTTAACTCTGATGTTTTCTTTTATCCATGATGCTGTGAGCTGCCTCAAAGATATGGAAGGAGGGAATATAAATAAAATAATAAGTGGCTCTCGGTCATAAGTGCTAAGTGCAGCTATTATGCACAAACTACGAAGTATGCCTCTGTCCTCATGAACTGTTGTCTGAACAACACAGGGTGGCCATCATATCTTCTATGATTTGCTGGGGTGTCTCACTAGAACAGATGAACCCTCTTATGCTTTTACACAGAGGAAAACCTATGCAGATTTTTAAAACACCAGCTATTGCCATAAATAAGGATTTAACATTATGCAAGCTGTCTACCTCTCCCATGGTTAACAAATGTGCTCATCCTAACAGATTTGCACAGCTCTTCAGCTATAATTCACATTTGGTGTCTTCTTTTGACCACGTTGTATTTCTTAGGTCTGAGTAAAATGTGATCTTCTCAAGAAAAAGACATAGAACAGAAAACACAGCAAAGAAGTTTCACTGCATCTCAAGAGAAAGAGCTGCATATATACCTGAAGAATAACTACCCATCATCTCCAGACTCCTGACAAAACAGGAAGCCACAACTATTTCCATGCCAGTTATTTGGGAGAACAAAACCCACTAATTATTTGAACTCTGCGTGTAGTCACACACTAATCAGAGGCAGGAGAAACAAGTTGTGGGCTAGAACCAACCATCTTTTCCGCTGGAAAAAAAAATGAAGGGTGGTTCCCTTTGAAGACTCCCCCCCAAAAAAACTATGCTAGGGACCAAAGTACCTGCATAGGCAAAATGAGGGCTATAGTAAGGAGAGGAACAGTGTCTGAGCGAAAAAGCTGGTTTGATCCAATCCTATGAACTGAGGTATGAGATCAGTGTAAACATATACTTTTCCCTCTCTTTGCCTGTCCATGAGTTTAATTGTGCAGCTGCATACATGCTCAGTGCAGGAGCAAGGAACTTACTTGAGAATAGTGTGTGTGCGTGCCTAAAGAAGGGCAGAGGTATTTAATACCTGTATAAAAGGAGGTATGGGCTGCATCCTTACAAACACATACAAGAGAAATGTTATTGCACATATATAATTTAGACAGAGAGGTTCAACAGTACTGATAAAACTTTCTAATGGCCTCTTGTACTCTTTTGTTGATAATATAAGGGACCATCACTATGAGAGGTTTAAACCTAATTCACAAACATTCTTTTTGTAACTCAACACAGTATACCTATACGATTCCATTTGTTTCTAGTTTTAAATTAATTGAATGTATACGCCATCAGAGAAGGAATCTGGTCTAGTAATTCCCTTCTGACTTTCTTTACTGGTTAAGAATCTCAAACAGAAACTAAGTATACATTTGCAAGCATTATACTCGATAAGCTTTGCCCAAGGGGTGCAACAAGGCTGATCAGATCTGCACTCTATCTTGTTCACCCCTGGACAACTCTGTTTGCAGCTGCATCGCAGACAGAAGTGAGGGGATAAATGTGGGCCAAGTGTAGCAGGGACAACCTGCACACAGAAGTTATTTCAGCCTGATCTTCTCCTGTACTATATTATTCCTTGTCTTCATAGGACAGCAGATCGTGGCAAAATAGAAGCTACAAAAGCACCACATACAACTGCGGACACACTCCAGGAAAAAGAAAGAGTGGAAATTCTTACCAGTGGGTGCTTTAGTGCTATGACATTCTTCCCCTTCCACTTGGTCTCAAACATTTCTGCAAAGTATGCACTCCGGGCACCAAGTATGCAGCGATGGGCACAGAAAGACTTCCCATGGACAATAAAGACAATGTCACTTTGGTAACCCTGCTCCAGAAGTCTGTGAGGAAAATTGGAGGGGGGGGGGAGAATCTGGTTCACCACTCAATTCAAGATTGCAGCTATTTATTTACAGTATTTTTTATCCTATTTTAAACTGTAAAAGCTTTGAAAGCCATTCCTGCCATTAGACCAAAATTACAACAATACAAGGACAGCGAAATACCCACGCCCAGGGCATGGCTAGAGATTCCATGATACGTCAAACTTGCCGAAGCTAAGCAGGTCCAGATCTGGTTGGTAATAAGGTTTTGGTGCACTGCTTTGCGTTCCATGATGGAAGAAAAGAGGGATAATCCATGTAACAAAACTAAGAGGCGCAGGGATCAAATGGCAGAGGGGAAAATTTCCAGGTCTTAAATAAGCTACTTCCCTCAAATGCCCAAGGGAAAAGAAATGAGGCACAGTGAGGAAACATGCAAACCCTCAGGGTAGTAAACCCGCTGTACAAGAAGCTGTTGTTCTTTTAATTGTTTGGCACTTAGTCTATACAAATGTTTGACTTTACTGTGATACTGTGGGAGTTATGTAAGAAAAGCTGTTTAATTGAGTCGGTAATTGCGCTTTGTGTCTAATTCTGTTGTGTTTACGCTGTTAAAAATTAATAAAAACAAATATTTTTTTAAAATGGTAGTAAACTCAAATGTGCTGGGGCAAGCACTGAAAAGGCACTGATGGATGCCTATTTTGCATTCACTTGAGATGATACCTTCAGTAGGGCCTCAATGGCAGATCTCAAGGAGCAGGAGAGTTTATATGACAGCAGAATTTCCCGAAGGTGGACTTGATGGTATTCACACACTGAGATAACTGAACACCTCTATCTAAAGGGATTGAAAGAATTATGACTAGTATTGTACACAGTTGCTAATGCTGAGGCAGAGTGTGGCTGGTCAGTTTCCATACTATCTTGCTCACTGACTTTTTATACAGAAGGAAAGTCAAATCACAGACTTTCAGATTTTTATGCGCCAAAAGGGGCTTTGCAAGCTCCTCACAGCAACCTTGACCAAAACAAAACCTCCCATAAACCTTTTGAGCCTCCCCAGATAAAATTAAGCCAAGAGAGGTTACTCATCCCAGACACAGGGATGATAATCAGTGAAATGGGGAGAAAGCATGCCAGTGCTTAAAAGGTTGAAAGGGAGAAGCCTCTTTTCCTGAAATCTGAACACATCATCTCCTTACCGTTGAAGGAAGACATCGTAGTAATCTCTCTTCATGCACTTGGCTGTAATTTGCTTGTACTCCTTCAACACTCGCCGGATAGCATCACTCAAGGCCCCATATAAACAGCGCTCGCCATCAAAGGTGTTTGCTTCACATTTCGCACCTGTAAATCAAAACCATTTCGTACTTGGATATAAAATCTGAAGTTAAGTGTCATAGAAACATTCTACACAACTGGCAATACAATCCCAACCAGGTACACTCTTCTAAAGCCCACTGACTTCAATAGAATAGTAACTCTGTTTGGGACTGCAGTGCGACTTGCAAAGGGACCCTGTTAAAAATACACCACAGTTTTGCTGAAATATGGGCTAGGGGGAAAAGTTTATAAAAATTCTTGACAAAAGAAAACAAGAATCTGAAACACACTGTCAAGCAAAGGTCATAGACCTTCTGGTTAATATAAAAAGTCATATTTCTGCAGACCCAGAAAGTTCACTGAGTAGACAGACACTACTACACTATCCATGGGTGGCCCAGTTGTGTGGCTTTTCGTTATCCTAACAGGGGACAACAAATATGACCATACATACTATCAGATATTTATGTTAAATAAACCTAATGCCTTGCCTAAATAAATCAGCGTGTTCTAAACTGGGAAGATTCAACTTGCATCACCTCACCTCACGTTAATAATGTCTTTGTCCTTTCAACTATGTGACTAAGGACCAAAGCAGACCTGACAGCATCCTCGTGGCCACCATGAGGATGCTGCCATTTGAATGTTGTTTATTAAGAATGCCACGAGGAACCAATCCCGATCAGGCCTACAGCATGACAGACTGAGGTGCTCTCGCTTCCCTCCCCCCACCTTATCAAGTGCCAAAATGGCCACACCCACCCACACGTCTGTTCCAGCACCTGAAAAGGCAAGGGCGGCGGGGGGATGGGGGGACGGGACAAGAGCACACACAAAACCCATCAAGCAGAATGGATGCAGATTACACAGCTTTAATACTACTCTAGGGCTAGTGCTGTAGCATTCCAAAAATCTAGTTCTGCTGTAAGGAAGAAAGTCTTCCTTGCAAAAAATGTCAAGCCCTGCACAGGAAGCAGATTCAAAACAACTGTATGGTTTGCCTTCACAGTATTATAAACTGGCTGCATAATGATGCGACTTCAAAGCAACCATTCTAAAAAGAGAGGAAACCAATAGCTAGCCACATATATTGCAAGAGAAAAATATCAACCCCTCTCTTACCACTGGCTAGAAGGTACTGTACAAGCTCCTCATGTCCACAGAGACAAGCGTAATACCTGTCAAGAAGAGCACGCCGGTCACCAATGCGTTCTCAGAGATGAAAACAACATTGGTTTATTAAGTACAAAGTTTGAGCCCAGTGGCACCTTTAAGACGAACAAAGTTTTATTCAAGGTATAAGCTTTTGTGTGCACGCACACTTCTTCAGATACATTGAAATGGAAGTTAACAGACCATACATACAGGTAGAGGGTGAGCAGCAAATTAGCATACAGCATAATGAAGATGTTTTACAGTTTCAAGGACCAAATAGGAATAACAAGCTTAGTCGCCAAGACCGGGATTCAGGGATTTGCCTTGCAGTGGCTCTCCTCATTCCTTCAGGGTAGGGGACAAAGGGTGGCTGTTGAGGAACACCTATCCAGAAGGCACCCACTAGTTTGTGGAGCACCCCAAGGAGCGGTGCTTTCCCCGATGCTATTTTACATCTATATGCGCCCCCTTGCCCAGAGACATGGACTGGCTTGTCACCAATATGTGGACAAAACCCAGCTCTATCTGCTTTTGGACGGCCAGTCAGACTCTAGTCCAGGAGATCTGGACCTGGCGTTGAAAGCTGTGGCTGGCTGGCTAAGCCTGAGCCGGCTGAAATTGAATCCGACGAAGACGGAGGTCCTGTGCCTGAGTCAGAGTGGATCAAGGCTAGGGATCCCTCTCTCCCAACCTTCAACATCAGCACCAACTAATAGCCTGGCAAGAGCCTGGACTATGGGGGTAGGGCTCCATCTGGATGCCGAAAGAATACTGCCATCGCTCACCGTATCTACTAGCACTTATGATTTTATGCTGTGGTTTTATGTAAATTCTATGTTTTAACATATTTCGATGTTTTAATATAGATATATATCCTGTAAGCCACCCTGAGCCTGCCTTGGCGGGGAGGGCGGGATATAAATCCAATAAATAAAATAATAAATCGTTTATATGGTTACCATTAGCTTGGGTTTAATTCCAGGGGAAAGCATAGTGAAGAAAATAAATATGCCAGAATTGGAGATCAATGGGCAGATGTTTCCTTAATTGTGGAATGCAGAGAGTAATTAATGGAAACCCTACCATTACGTTCCATCCGTCTCCTCTCAAGCATGGAAAGCAAAGAAGCAGCATCTTCTTTGAAGTGGGACGATTGGCTGTGTAGAGTTTATTAAGTGTGTCATGGTCCCAATACTCCACCTAACATATTATGTAATAAAAACTCTAGAATCACCAAGGTGTTACAATGATTTAATCTAGTGCTCCCATAATGTCCCATGTCTTTCTGTTCCAACAAG